TATATATATATATATATATATATATACCAATTATATTCTGTTCATCCTTCAACCATTAAAAGGTACACAAAAGGAAAAAATGTCAATGATGTGTATATAAGCTCTCAAAATATAAATTTTAAACAGGTGATTATGAATCAATGATGCTATAGGAATGATGCTATGAAACAACACAAAGCTCACACTTTGCCCTCCCCCCACGTGTGACCTGGGATGTGTTACTGAAACATTTGGACCTTGATTTCTGTACAGGCAAAATGAAAGGATGGAGCTAAATACTTGCTAAAGATTTCTTCTGGCTCTAAAATACTGAAAATGGAAAGTTGTCCGTTGTCACTGAGTAATTTAATCCTGATAACGACAAGAAGTTGTTATTATTTGGGTTTGATAAAAACAGAAAGTGTCTTGCATCATCCAGGCTAGTGGCAAAAAGTCTGCTGCCAGCATGGGAGGGGTCGGTATTGGTACTTTCTCTTCCTACTTGGACCCTGTGGTCTCCAGCAAATGGAGAAAGAGCCAGATCTCCATGTTAGCACCAGATAGGCACCACAGCTCTGCATCTCGTCTACAAGAGTAACTCACCATCGTTGCCTTAATTACTATATTATTTCTTCTTAAAGTCAGGGAGCATGTTTTCTTCATGATTATTTCCTCTGGTGGATCTAGGACATTCTTTGGCAAATGATAGACTCCTAAGTGCTTTGTTACATCTTGTCTTTGCTGCTCCCCAATTCCACTAAGGATGTTTAATTAAGATAGTGTGTTCTAAATAGACTGCATTCTAACAGTGTTCCTTCTTGAGCATTGGTCATTGTAACTAGATTGTTAGCTCCCACAGAGCGCAGACCCCGTGGTCTATTTCTTTTATATCTTAATTCGGAATGTTGGTCAAAAGCTTTTCCCGGAGTTGCTGGCCCGCTCTGGAGTGGAAGGTCCCTGGAATAAAAATCAGCAGAGCAGAGTGTGCATCCGGGTTTGGCACTGCCACTTTCCCGTCTCCTGACCCCAGCACATTCCAGAACCTATTCAGTCCGCAGTGTCTTTGAAATTGTGATGATAAATCCTTGCTCGGCTTCACAGAGCAGGCGGTAGATGTAGAAATGACTTTCCTCTTACAGTTCTATTAAAATAAAAGGTTTCCTAGTTCTCATAGTGTCACTGCTCACCGGCCCAACAGAACCCCAGTGCAGGGACTGACAATTTTATGTCTTCCTTCTGCGAGAGGGTCACTGCATTTGTTGTGATGGTAAGTAGTCCCAGTACAATGTTCCTCCAGCTGTTGTTTCCAGGTGTATCTAGCCCTGTGATTTTTGCTTAGCAATGCAAAGGAGTATTTGTAGATAGTGTACTACTGCAAGGCTGATTCTACAAGATAAAGGTAATTAATACTCTTCATTAACTAGGGTATGTAAGTGTATGTGGGAGGGGGGACTAGTACAGAAATAATTGAAGCATATTAATAATTAGTAAGTTCCCTGTCATTGGATATTATTTTTATCATGAATTTAATAAATTTAGTAAAACAATGAAAGGTTTTTGTTTTTTGAACCCAGAGGTTAGGAATTATAGCAAGCAGACTCTTTAATACTATATTACATTGATATAATAATTAAAATCCATTGAATATCAAAACATAACTTGGTGACTGAAGATATTTTAACCTGTGTTTGCCTTGCTTATTTGACTTTTTCCAAATGCTTTTAAAATCATACTTTTTCTAATGCTTTTAGATGATGGATATATTTTTATGATTTTGTTTGCTTAAGATTTCCTTCCGATTGAACCAAAATTTTATGGCACCAATTCATCACCAACAGAAATCCCCCATTTGGGGGGGGGGGGCAGTGAACAAGGAAACTTTATTCAGCTCAGTTGTGATGCCGCATGGCTACAAGGTGGCCCAGGGGGAGGTGGCCCTTGGCCTGTCTTTGGCTAAACAGCTCTGCTCTNTATGGATATATTTTTATGATTTTATTGTTTGCTTAAGATTTCCTTCCGATTGAACCAAAATTTTATGGCACCAATTCATCACCAACAGAAATCCCCCATTTGGGGGGGGGGGGCAGTGAACAAGGAAACTTTATTCAGCTCAGTTGTGATGCCGCATGGCTACAAGGTGGCCCAGGGGGAGGTGGCCCTTGGCCTGTCTTTGGCTAAACAGCTCTGCTCTGCTCTGCCCTGCACTGGTCTGCTTCACGCTTCCCTGGTGAGACATTTTTGGTGTTTCAGCTGCTGGCGAGAAACACAGTCCTCAGCCTTTAGTGGAAAGGGGAAGAACAGCGCTCTGAGCCTCAGGGGATCTGACTTATATAGGAAGGAGTCCCCACCCCGGTCCCTGATTGGTCCATCCTCATGCAAATGAGGACTCCAAATCTTCACAGTTCAATTGGTCCAAAAGGCGCTGTCCTGATTGGTCAGAATGGAGCCACTCTTATTGGTGAAGATACTGCTGGAGATATAGCTGCGTAGCTCTGATTGGTTGGGGAAAGCCTCAGTCTTGGCTGAAATACAATCCCAGGACCTCCTTTATAAGGGCTGGCTCGGCTGTCAGGAACAGGGGAAGGCAGGCAGTCCAGTGCAAGCTTCTCCCTGCAGCGTGGCTGGCCTGAGAGGCTCTGCTTTTGAATGTTGAGCCTAGTTAGCCACCAGGTTATCTTGTTTTTTTCAGGGTTTACATCCATTACAAGATTATTTCATTTAATTCTCACAGTAATCCTAGAAGGTAATGAGGATGATTATTTCCAGTTATAGGTGAAAAAACTGAGGCCTAAGAGAGGCTGAGTAATTGTCTGTGGCCACAGCTATGTTGATGTAAGGATGTCCAAACCTGTAGAGAATTTTTATAAAAATTTATTTGAGCCAAACAGGATACGCCTGGAAGCAAGATCTCGACAGACTAAGAAAGTGCTTCTTAGAATAGCAGTTTGCAGCTTCTGCTTTTGTATTTAGAATTGAGGGAATGTAAGGAAGATTGTATGAAGGTGGGAGAAAGCCAGGAGGGGATTGGATTACAAGGTGATATTATTTTTAGTTAAATCTCTCCATTTCTGTAGATACTTGCAAGTTGAGGGGCCATATGAATTGTACCCTGACTGTTGTGAGGCTTGTCAACCTGGGGGGCATGGTTACCCATGTTAATTTTAATTTTCCTTTTGAGCCAATTTAAAAAAGCTGAAATTAAAAGCAGCCATATAAGAACAGCTGAAATAAAGTTAGGAACTGCCACCTAAAGCAGGTAAAATTCCAGGGTTCCAAGAGAAGTTTCTCCAAAGTCCATCCAGTGAGAAGTGGGGAGCTGGTGGAGCACCATGGGCCCCGGCTGGCACCTAGCAGGGAGTCTGGGTCTGAGGGGTGGGCCAGGGTGGACTTCTTCTGAGTCCTGCTGACTACGCCAAGTAATTGTCAATGCAAGACTGTCCAAAACTGTAGAGAATTTTTATAAAAATTTGAGTCAAACAGAGGATACTTCTGGAAGCAAGATCTCAACAGACGGAGGTGGAATGCTTCCAAGAAATGACTATTTGGAGCTTCTTTTATGCATTTAGAACTAGGGAGGGAATGTAAGGAAGATTCCATGCAGGTGAGAGAAAGCAAGGCTGGGATCGAATTACAGGGTAGTTATGATTATGTGCTCTCCTGAGGGTGGTCACACTTTAGAGGGAGGGGTCTGAAAGGGGACATTTCAAAGGGGAGTTAACCTAGCTGTCCCAAAACAATGGACAGGGCTTGCTTAAGGCAAAGAAGTTCTATGTCTGGGGTGTGACTACCCTCTGTGACCTGCCCAGTTAGGAATTCATGGTCAGACCACCCTGGGAGGTTGCTTTTGTAGAACTCCTTTTTGGTCTATTCGTTTCACGAGGAGGAGACAGGTTATATAAATTCAAGGGCTGAGTGAGCTCTCTGAAGAATAAAGGGGGAAAATGGGGAAAAGAGCAGTTGAGAAGCCCTGGATGAAGGATTCAGGGATATTTGCTCAACATAGAACTGATGTTACGAGGCAGTTATAGTTCCCTTTCTTCCACATTGTTCCATGATCCCTTTGGAAAATTCTTGGCTTGAAACACATTTACTCCTATGCTTGCACATGCACACACGGAAAGAGCCTATCTCTCTGACTTTGCTTATGCAAAATATCTGAGTTATAGAAAAGAAATAACTAGCTTTAGGGCTATTTTCAGCCATACCGTAAGATGTGTAAAATGGGTGTACTGTAATGATAATTAGTCACTTGAGAATTAAGGGATGAGACTTCATAGGTGTTTGGTTCCAATTAGTTTTAGGCAAGCTTAAGTTCTGTAGGGGGAAAAAAAAATGCTTTATTTCCCCTCGCAAATGTCTTGGGGGACCAAAGAATGTTCTCTAGTGACCTCAAGGAATGGGAAAAATAGAGGTCTCTTTTGCCCTGCTTTGTCATTCCACATATCTGAGGGAGATTTTGAAATTAGTTTCACAAACGAAAATAGGAAGAGGCATGAGAGTCACATTGCCAGTGTCTTGACAGAACTGAGTGTTTATTATACATTTGAAATTTAGTTGTAACTAAAATATAGATCTGGGCCTGGTTTTGTATAGCCTTAAACTAAATGCATTTTACATTTTCAAAATCATTAAAAACAAAACAGAATATGCAACAGAGATTTTATGTCGCCTTCAAAGCTTATATTATTTACGATTTGGCCTTTCACAGAAAGTTTGCAGACCCCTGGTATAGACTGGTATTTCCTTTCCAGTTCTGGCCTTGATGTGAATGAGGCTTTGTCGTAGGATCACATGGTATTCATTCAGAAATCCTGAAAATATTTACTGATGCTTCTTATGTGCAGGTGGCCGGGTGTGCAGGATGGTTGCTGGCTGTCAGAGGGTTTACATTTTAGTAAGGGAGGTAAACATTAAACAAATTGCACAGATAATTAAAATGATGAATTGCACCGAGGAGCTCTGAAGGGTTCCAAAAGAGTGTGGAAGGGGATCACTGAAGGCTATTCTGGATAAGTGGTTTTAATCTAAATTTGAAGACTGACTCCCCTAATTAGAGGGAAGGGAAGCAATAGGGCGAGAACTGAGATAACAGCTGTGGCTCTAGAAGGGACTGTAGAGATTTCCAATTTCTTCTACTGAAGCTAGATAATTTTCTGAAGGATAATAAATTAGAGAGTGAGTAGTGTCTGAACGAGTTAGGGCCTGGGCCTGGGGCTCTCAACTCTCGCTAACGTTAGGATCAGCTGGTGCCCAATAAAATACTGATGTCCGGTCCTGCTTCCGTCATTCTGTTCTCCCCGGTGGGTCTAAGGTACAACCAGGATTGAGAACCAAGTGATCAGGTGGACCCAGGACCTCTAGGGTCCCCAGCCAGTTCTCCTCTCTTGTCTCTTTTAAGGAAATAATAAAAAACAAGTTTGGACCTGCTCTAGAGTTATGTTTCTGAGGTGCATATGAGAAAATTGAGTTTCCTTCTGTCACTTTCCTCTTCAGGGTGACTTTGCTGGTCAACGCTCTTCCCTTCCCAGGGTTGCTGCTTTTGCCTGCCTCCCTGTCACCTCCTCCCTGCTGTCCCATCGCCGTGCCTGGGAATGCATGTCACCCGCTGTCATTTCCTAGCTCAATAGTAGTGACTCACTGCTCCCTAGGAAGGAGGATTTCCAGTGAAATCCCAAAGGCTGGGCCCTTCAGATGGGAGATGCACGCTCATCACATGGCCCACCCAGTGTGGGGGCAGGAGGTATTTGGGGGGATGCGAGAGAACACCAGAGCTGCCCTGTCCCCTGTGGTGGCCCAGGCCTGGGGCTGCAGAGTCGCCTGTGAGTTCGAGAGGCCGCCTTCTGCGCAGCCAGTAGCCTCGGCAACGGTGTTGCTCGCCGGCTGTGTTTACCTGTCCCCTGTCCCCTGGGGACCCATCGGGCTGCCTCTAACGGCTGTTTCCTCGGCAGGGCGGACGCTGCTGGAGAAGCTGTTCAGCCAGCAGGAGCACGGGCCCCCAGAAGAGGCCGAGAAGTTCTGCTCACGGATCATCGCCATGGGCCTCCTCCTGCCCTTCAGCGACTGCTTCCGGGAGCCGTGTCCCCAGCGCGCCCAGCCGGGCTCGGCTCCGTTTGATGTAAGTGGACTCGGCTCTGTCCCCGAGGCGGCCTCCGTGGAGGCAGCACTGGGACGTGGGTCTGCCCATCGCCCCATCATTTCCAGGCCAGCGAGCCACGCAGGCCTCCTCCCCCAGCCTCTCCGCGGCTCGGTGCGCCCCTTCTCTGCTTTCGCTTTTCACTGGGGTATTCTCTTTTTCATTTTCTTTTTCAGTCCCAGGTTACATTTAACATTATTCTGTATTAGTCTCAGGTGTACAGCACAGTGGTTAGACAATCATATACTTTACAAAGTGCTCCCCCCGATATTCCCAGGACCTGCCTGGCACCTTACATAGTCATCACAATATTATTGACTATTTCCTCTGCTGAACTTTACATCCCCGTGACGTTCTGTAACTGCCGATTTGTATTTCTTTCCCCTCCCAATTTGTACTTCTTAATCCCTTCGCCTTATACACCCAGCCCCCCAACCCCCTACCCTCCGGTAACCATCAGTCTGTTCTTTGTATCTGTGAGTCTGTTTCTATTTCATTCATTCACTTATTTCGCTCTTTAGATTCCACATATAAGTGAAATCGTGTGGTATTTGCTTTTCTCTCTCTGACTTATTTCACTTAGCATAATGCCCTCTAGGTCCATCCACTCTGTCGCACACGGTAAGATTTCTAGGGTATTTTAAAATATATTTGCCAAACCTCCTTTCCTCAACAGATGGCCGCTCTTGACAGCTATCTAGCCTGCTTTAATCAGCTAGGATGTCGAAGGGGCTCTGATCAGTGTTTCTCACTTTGCTGGTTGTAGACATTCCTGCAGAAGGAGCTCCATAGGGCAAGAGTTTTGTTCCCAGTGGCTGCAGGTCTCCATAGGCCCTAGGATGCTATTTCACTGCGTTCATTTCTCACCTACGTACAAAATACTGGCATGAAGCAGCAGGGTCTGCGCTCTGCCCCAGCTCCCAGACACCTAGAGCTAATGCTGCAAAACAGTAATCCAAAGGGCATATTCATAATTCATGACAAATGTCAGCATAGTTGGGTTGGATTGTCCTTCTCAAGCCAGAGTATTGCTAGTCTTTCTCAGGTGTGTGGTACATGTGCAGCATTGCCTGTGATGACTGTGAATTCCTCATAAGAAAATTCAGGGTGTGGTTGGCTCACCGGTGCCGAGGTGTACGCGAGGCAGAGTTCTCACCCAGGAGGGTCGGTCCCATTGCTTCCATCTCTACCCCCTACTTTTATAGACTTCTTCAATGTATGTGCTTTTTCTCAGGGAGTGAAATAACGATGTTTTTTTTGTTTTTTTTTAATAATGATGTTTTAAAAGGCAATGAAAATGAGCCCTGGCTGAGGCCAAGGCGCAGTGGTAAATAGTAAAATGTCTCTCTGTGCCTGTTTCTCTTGTTTCTCTTCTTTACCCGTTACAACCTGTGCTCTCCTGAATCTCCCTTCAGTATTAGAAAAGCAAATCACATAAAATAGATGTGAGATCTCGTTGAGAGCATAGGCAATACTAGGAAGGAAGTAAACCCAAGTTATATGGTGTGAAAGGACATTGCCCAGGATGTGCTGTGACTTGTGAAGCTCCTTCTTAAGACTTATCTATTTATTTATTTTAAAATATGTTTTTGATTTTAAAGAGAAAGGAAGGGAGAGGGGGGAGAGAGAGAAACATTGATGTGAGAGAGAAACATCCATCGGCTGCCTCCTGCACGCCCCTTACTGGCGATGGAGCCTGAAACCTGGGCATGCACCCTGACCGGGAATCGAACCAGCTGCCTTTCAGGGCATAGAGTGATGCTCAACCAACTGAGCCACACTGGCCAGGGCTCTTTTTTTTTTTTTAATCACTGAACTGGCTGCTTACCCCCTACCTGCTCCATCCGTGTGTGTTATTTTGGAGGGCAGTGATGTGGCATAGAAAGCCAGAAACCAAACAAATAAAACCCTTTAATATGATATGAAATAACTTCCTCAGAATGTGGGATTTCTTTCCCCCAACTTTGTGATTGCATCTTCTCCCTACTTTATTTGTTGCTATCTCTCCACGCTGCCCACCCAACTGAACAGAAACAATTACAGAATTAGAGGTACTCTGTTAAGAAACGTTATTCATGTACTTAAACAGCAATTCAGCAACAGAACTGTGCATTTATTATATGTGCAGCCGAGGTTGTCTTCAAAACGCAGAAGAAGTAACAACACAGGGACTTATATGGACTGAAGTGCTGGTGAGAGAGTGAGCAGGAGGAATGACTTATCTGTGGGGAGAGAAGTTTCTGATAATTATCTCTCTGCTGATTTCTAGAAAATCGCTCCTGGGAGGATTTCTAACCAACGGTTCTCTTGAGGACAGTTGCCCTTCGAGACAGAACACCCTTTGGGAATAAGTCACGACTGGCACCACTCTGACTTTGCTCCCTTACCTAAGAGCCCCTGTCCCGTCTCCTCTCTGCCTTTCCTCTGTCCGTTTCCACACGCAAGCAGAGCAGTCGAGTTTTGAATTGGGGATCTTACCGATACAGCTGATGGATCAGCCTACTTCAGTCAGCTCTTGATTTAGTTCAATTTCTTTTATACATTTTAGAGCCTAATATGTTGCTTTAGGAATGCTGTCCAAAATATGAAAAACGGTCACATATTTTCTTACATTTCACCTTAAAGTTTCAAAAAGACTAACAGGCAAAGAGCTGTGAGTGATCATGTTAATTCATTCACAGATATTTACCAAATACATTCTACAGGCCAGGCAGTGTTTTAGGCTCCAGAGATAGGCCAGTGAGCGAGAGAAATGAGATTCTCGTTGTTCTGAAATTTGTATTCTCTTCGTGGTGGGAAGGAAGTTAAAAAAAAAAAAAAAGACCCATAAATAAAAGCATTGCCTGTCAGTTGAGAATGGAGGTCCTTTTGCAAGAGCAAGTCCAGTGCGTGGCCCCTAAGGCGCCTTTTCCTTTGAATGCCTGTATGCGTATTTCGATCCCCTTTTCTGGGTCATGCTGATCAGCAGTTGTTTTCCAGCAAACCACAATTATCTTACATAATTATGGGTGGTTCAGCCATAACTACGTCAGATGGCACACTATTGCTTTACATCACAAAAAGAAAGCAAGCTTACTTGGCTCAAGGATTTTGGCAGGAGTGTATGATTATACCTGCTTAATCCTTCATAACTGATCTTAAATACTCTTTTTAGCAGAGTAGTTTTGGGTGCATTTTTTGGATGCTGGGCTTTTTTGAGTTTGGCAGACCTGTTTGATTTTGCTGAATATGTAGTAATCCCTGACCTTATGGGCAGGAGCTCCTTGGTGTGTATTTAAATGGACATAGGTTTGGATGAGTGTATTACTGAGACTAGAATGAAAGGGAAGGAAGCCCGGCCGGCGTGGCTCAGTGGTTGAGCGTCAACCTGTGAACCAGGAGGTCATGGTTGGGTTCCAGGTCATGGTTCTGTGCCTGGCTTGTGGGCTCGATCCCCAGTAGGGGGCGCGCAGGAGGCAGCCGGTCAATGACTCTCATCATTGATGTTTCTCTCTCTCTCTCCCCCCACCTTCCTCTCTTTAAAATCAATAAAAAACATTTAAAAAAATAAAGGGAAGGGAGATATGAAAATTCAGTCCAAAAAGGAATAAAAGAAACATGATCTTGAACTTGTTAAAGGGTAAGTCAGTAATGATTACCTACAGCAGTGATTACCAGAAAACTAATGAAATGTACTCTATTCATTGTCACCAGTAGTCAGAAAGAAGACTTAAGTGGGAAAATAGAATTGATCTTTTGTATTTGAATTAAGTTTTTTGGAGCAGGAAGAATGCTAACTGCTGTTTTTCAGTGAAACCCACACAAGTCTTTTTCTGAGAAACAGTAAAGTCTATGACATCTTTGAGCTCTAAGAGTATACATATGTATGTTTTTGCTGTATTTTTATTTTTGAAACATTGTGTACAGTATTAACTCTCGGAAAGTCATTTTTTCTTTTAAACGTGGTATTAAAATTATATTTACTTTGCAGACCAGCTTTTAAAATTATTTAGCTGAATATTTCTTTTCCTTGCAGACTTTGCTGTAATATTAACACAGAAGTCAGTAGCGAATAGAAGATTTTACTTATTGAAATTCATTTTGTAGCCTTGTTTTACATCTGTTTCATTAGCCAGGTAACCATTGCATAAATCCATGATAAGGAGATTGAAACTGCAATCCTTTCCCTCAGCCTTACTCATTTAATTTTTAAAAAAATATGTTTTATTGATTTCAGAGAGAGGAAGGGAGAGGGAGAGAGAGAAACATCAATGGAAGAGAAACATCGATCGGCTGCCTCCTGCNTTTACTCATTCAATTTTTAAAAAAATATGTTTTTATTGATTTCAGAGAGAGGGAGAGGGAGAGAGAGAAACATCAANCTTACTCATTTAATTTTTAAAAAAATATGTTTTATTGATTTCAGAGAGAGGAAGGGAGAGGGAGAGAGAGAAACATCAATGGAAGAGAAACATCGATCGGCTGCCTCCTGCATGCCCCTGCTAGGGATGGAGCCAGCAACTTAGGCCTGTGCCCTGACCGGGAATCAAACCTGGAGCTCCTGGTACATGGGACGCGGCTCAACCACTGAGCCACACCAGCCGGGCTACTCATTTCATTTCTTCTTCTTTTTTTTTTAAATTTTAAGGGCTTTAGAATGTTCTGGGGCCCTGCATTCACCTGGTTAGAGAACAGCCATGCTGCAAAGACAAGCAGCAGGCTCTGCTCCTGGCCCGCTGTCCCACGGTCAGTCCTGCCCCACGTGGGACTCCGTGCTCTGGGTGAGCTGGTTTGACTTCAGGTATTTTAAGTTTGCTGATGCCATCGCCAGCGTTGCTGTCATTCTGGCTCTAACGTGAGGATTTGGGTGCACCCCTGCCCTACACCTCCTCGGTCCTTCCCGTATAGTTACTATTGCTATTCTAGTCTCCTTTTAATAATTCTTATTTTAACAATAAATAATACCCTTCAGATTTTTTTGTCTGTCTGTACTTGTGCTATCA